ATATTCTAATAAATATTTGCATTCAATAAAATAAAAATATTTTCTTGAAGAAAGTTTTGAGAAATTCTCAGATGCATTATATACTAAAAAAATTTTTTATTTTTCCCTACTACAGAATCCGTTTCTACTCAACTTCTAATCTCAATACCCTCCTACATTTTGATTCTTTTTTTTGTATCAAACTAAGAAATATGCTTTCTGTTGTGTGGAATTATAGCCAGCGTTAGCTACTACAAAATTTTGAAAAAAAATTATACATATAAATGACAAAATAAACACATTTCATATTATTAAAATAATATTTCGAGGATTATTATTAACCACAAAAAGATTTATACTGATGTATCTGCAATTCACATATTCTTGAAGGTTTAATGCTACTAATGCTATTACGCTAATAATACAATTACTGAATTATATATTAACAAAACTCTGAAATTTGATTTTTTTCATTTAAGAAAACAGCAGTTTTTTATCGCTCAAATAACCGATCATCTGAATATGAAAAATCTTTATCAAGTGACCTAATCTTATGCTTGAAAGCTATAATAACTAGATTTTTGAATCATAATATTTCATATTGGCATAAATAAGATTTTTTTTTAAACGCTTGTAAAAAAAAACATGTGATCTTACCAAAAAAGTAATATTTCTATAATATCGAATTTATCAAGAAGTAAATGATTGACCCTCAGTCTAAAATTGAATTCAGAATTTTATGATTATGTTATGAAACTAAAAAATTTTTAAAGAAAGGGTAATAATTATACAACTTTTTGTTGGTTTAATATCTTTTAATTCTTTTTAATAGATCTTAGTAAGTATCATTAAAACGATGTTTATTTTTCATCAACCCCATCTTCTAAAAGTATACCTAAAAAAAATCTTCTTATAATATTGTATAGACATTTAAGTTATTTCAAGGTTTAATACTTTTTTTAAAAAAAAAACAAAAATTCAAACCCAATTGGAAGATATTATGAATTACTGTATCTTTTGAGGTCAAAAACTATTAAAGTCAAAACACCATAAAGAAATTAAGTAATCTGAGAATGATTAATTCCATATAAAAAGACATAAAAAGAAAGTAAATAAACTTCAAAGTTATTTTATACTTTTGGGGTTATATAATACTTATAAAAGGTTTATTTTATCACTTTTTTGAATCATATAAAACTATGTATTCTATAATACTTCATAGATCTATGAATTTTACATTGTAATTTAGTATCTCAAATTATTTTTATTTTAGAGCAACTTTTTTGAATGTTTACAAAAAAAATATTCAAGTGTTGCTGCTATTAGGATATTTAATTGATAAAATAAATCATAATCCATGATTTGATCAATCATTTACTTACTTGATCGATTAAAAATCGATTTATTTGATTGATCACGTGTGATTGATTTCTTAATCGATTTCATTGTTCGATTAAAGAATAAACTAAAAATTGAATTTTAATTACTCAATCATTGATTGATTTATTAATATTAATATAAGCATTAAAAAATTACAATAAGCTAATTTTTATCAATTACAAATATTATAATAACTATTAAAATCTCTTTAATTTGCCAACATACAATTATACAAAAGGATTATAATATTTACTATTTTGTTTTACAAACAATAATTCATTAATAGTTTTTGGTTTTAAACTGGTCTGATCTTTGGTAATTTGATTTTCAGCATCACTAAAAAGCCGCTAACTTGAAACAGATGTGGCTGGTACACTCAAATATTTTCTAGCTATTTTAAATAAAGTTGGAATTTTCTTTTTATTATCAATTCACCATTAAAATGGATCTATTTCAGGTATAGCTTGTGGAATTTTAAAATTATTCAAATAGCAATTAATTTCATCATCTTTTTTATCTATTTCATATGATCTAAATAAATGCGATTTAAACCTGCCCATTGGATAATTATTTCTTGAATTTATTTGAGGCATAACAGTTTATTCATTTTTAATAAATGATATTATCTTTTTAATGAAAATATTGCTATTTTACACACTTCTTCAGGCCATCTATACATTTTTTTAAATTTTGAATCTAAAAGGCTAACAAATATAGCAATTTCAGGTGGTGAATTAAAATATTCAAATAGAGCATCATATATTGCTTTTTTGACAGAATTAGTAATATTATCAATTTCTGAAAAGACATTTGTGTATTATTTGAAAAAATTTGTTTTTCATAATTATTATCATCACTTTCTTTATCATCAAGCATACTTTCATTATCTTCAGAATCCTTATTTATAGTAATATTATCATTATCTATTAATTATTTAAATATTATCCCTTAATGGTTTTGCAGGCAAATTTGCCTGCAATTTTAAAAATTAATAATTGATCGCTAAAGAAAAAGGATCATCTGATATCTGAGCCAATTATTTATTAATATAAATTAGTTATTTTTATCAAAATCTATTAATCCATTAATAATATTTAAATATTTAATCATAAATATTTTTTTATTTTGATAGTGACTCAGACTCAAATTAATATCTAATAAAATGAGTTATTTAATTATTTTATTTAATAAAATGTTAGTCTCAGTATTAAAGCATTATTTTTATTATTATTATTTTTTTTTAATAAATAATATACTGTGGAATCTGCAGAATTTAAATTCTTTAATCCTTATTATTTTCCATTTACCTTAAAATAATTTTAAATAATTGAGTAAAAATGTTTGTTTTTTTTAAAAATCAAATTTTCTGTTTCTTTTCTCAGCCTAATCATTAGAAAATGTCACATGAAAATGTTATATTTTTTAAAAGTTTTTAATTGGCCTTTGATAGCTTCTAAATAAATATCAAAAAATAATTTAGATGAATTAGTAAAAGTTTGAAGTGAAGATTAATTAAAATTGATTAAAATTGCAGGCAAATTTGTTTGTAATTTTAACAAACTTGATTAATTTTTAATTCAAAATTTTACTAATTAACCTAAATTTTTTTTAAAATTTATTTAGAATATATCATATATTTTATTCTAAAATATTATTTTTAAAAAAATACATTTTAAACCAATTTTATTAAAAAAATTTATCAAAATTTTAGTATTTTTAATACAGTCGTCCCCCTCTATAGTCACCACCTATACAATTACATCATATAAATCCCTCATTATAAACACACATTTCATAAGAACCAATACCTATTCATGCAATATAAAAAAAACCTCATTATAATCACAGTGTTTTTATAGTCACACCCTTCCAGAACTAACGCTTAGTAACAACAAATAAAAATCCCCCTGTATAGTAACTTTTTATTATAATCACACTTTTTATTTTTGGTCCCAAAGGGTGTGACTATAAAGGGAAATGACTGTATATAATTTATGCATAATTGCAAAATTTATATATCTTAAAATGCATACTTTATTTTTACAGCATATATAATTAACAATTTATTGTAATATAAAATCATTATCCCTGATTCATATTTGGATTTGGATTTGGATTTTTAGATTCTGATTAATTAAATTTTGCCTAAATCTGATCTAATTTAATTATGCAAAATACTAATTTACATAATAAAAACAAATTTAAAAATATGTTATACTAAGTTATACTAAAAAGCCTAGTATTAAAAATAATGCAAATTGATATTTACTTATTAAGTAAATGATTAGGATTTAAAAAATAGATAAATATAATAAATTTCTTTATAATAGAAAAAACAGAGACTTACTAATAAACAAATATGATAAATCTATTATAACCCTTATATTAGAAAGGTTTACAATACATTTTTGCATAGTATTATTAATTTAGATACAAATAATGTAAAAGTTTTAAGGTGGATTATGTGTTCAATATTTAATTAAAAAATATATATTTCTTTATTTTTATAAATTTTTATATGTAATAAATGCATATACTGTATAAATGCTATACAATTTATAATTTTTTTACTTTTTTTATTTTTATTTTTTTTAAAAAAAAGAAGTGAGTATAATATATCAATATAACAAAGTTTAGCTTATTTTATACAGATAGATATCAATTTTGCCTTTGTGAAAGACAATTTTAAGGTATTACAATATGAAATTATAATTATATTCTACACCCCTATTTTCTTTAATAGGAATCAAGTAATGCTTTAATTGCTAATTTAAAAGGACTGGCCTTTTCCCATTTTCCCACTAGCAAAATATTATAACTTAACAATATAGGTCAGGTCATCTTGGTACCGTTTATAAACGTTAAATGCAAAGTCTTGTCCTTAATCTCGCTAAAATTTTCAATACATTATCTCTACAGATGATAAATAAATACGAAGTCTTAACTTTAATCTCACAAGATTAATATCTCTTCTTCAGTATTGTCTATAAACGTTAAGTAAATTTGTTCTTGTCTTTAATTCTATTAAATTTGTAAGAAAAAATAAATTGCTAAAAAAAAAAAGAGGGATGTCTAGTTTTAATTTGCGGTCTATAATTTCTACCTGATAAAGGATACTAATTATGATGAATGATCTATAAAAAACCGCGTGAAAATTTCAGTAAAATCCATCACATAAAATATATATAATGCAAAAAGGATCGGATTTGTTCGAACAACAAAAATAAGGCGGTTTTATTGGTAAAAGAAAAAATTGTAAAAGGATTAATTGAACGAACGATATTTTTGCAATTACGACCACTTGATTTCGAATTCTTTTTTATCGTTAGTTATTTTTAGATCTCCGCAAGCAAAAACTTTTCGAAGGAACAACAAATTTCAGGGCGAGCCAATAATCAGTACATTAAATTAATAGTGCGTCAGCTATTTTTTTAAAAGTCAAATGTCAGTTTTTATTATTAATCTTTTAGAATATTATTAAAATGAACTTATTTTGAAAGAAAACCGAATAATGATTTTTAAAAAAAAAAATTAATATTATTATAATTATTTCTCTAAATTTTAGAACTCATTAAATAAGAAAAAAAAATTTTTTTATTAAGATGAAATTAAATTAATTAATATGTAAGTAAGGTTTTTTTTTAAAATAAGAAAACGGAAGCCAAGAAAGCACCGATCATCATCGTCAAACTTCCTTTAACGTTGGAGGCACCGGATGGAACAGGCCCTTGAGATAATTGATAATTGAAATCGTCTGGATCGGTATCTTCTGGGTGTCCAACATTACCATCCAAGAATTGATAA